CAAACTGTTAATTTGTGACAAAATCGGGCATTCGGAAAATAGTGACAGTGATATTAGTGATTCTGATTAAACAATTTATTATTTTAGTTTTTTTTATAAACTTGTTTAGGTTATAAAAATATTTCAATAAAAAATCTTAAATCTATTGAAGTTAAATTCTCTTTCTCTTTTCTACAAATACTATCATGGTCACTGCTCAAAGGAGTTATCATCTCTAGTTCCATCAACTAAAATTCATTCTCGTTTTACTCGTCATTCAGCTAAGTCTCATTCTTTTACTGTATCTGTCCCTGCATGCTTTAAAAACTTTTATTCATCTAGTTTTTTTCCCCGCACTTCAATCCTTTGGAACTCTCTCCCCTCTTCATGTTTTCCTGACTCATACAACCTTCAAATTTTCAAGTCTTCTGTCAACCGTTTCCTTGTTCTATAACTCTGTTCTTTTCTTTCCTAGTAACTCCCAACTTAATAGTGGTTGCTTCCAGCCTTGTTGTGAATGAATGCAAATAAAAAAAAATAAAAAAAATAAATAAATAAGCAAAGTGTTAAATTTCAACTCATTGATATTACTATGCTGAGTATGTTTTTAAAAGATTATTATGTAAATATTGGCTTTGCATGTAATTTTTAATAATTTTATATCTATTTTATATAAAATTTTAATTAAAATTGCAGCTAAAAGTATTTTTATAGAAAAGATAATAAATTTAAGACAAATAATCAATGAAATAATACACAAAATAATTAAGTTCCGCTAGATTCGCGAAATAGAACACTGTGCGTCGGTACGGCCCTCTATATAAGTAATATAGTTTTAAATAATATTATTTTAACAATATGCTGTTATATAATCTAAATCACACATAAAATCACATTTAAAAAAAAAAACATAGTTTAGTAATAATAACAAATTGTTTATTACAATTAGTAAAAGTTCTAACACACCTAGGTTTTTGTTTTTTATATTATATATATTTACACTTTTTCTTTTATATATAATTATTTTTATCGCTCAAACATACTTACAATAGTAATGAATTGAAAATTGTCAAAACGGTAAGCCACATGATATCATGGGATATTCTAGAGTTTACAATGCATTGCGATAGAATTATTACAATTGGTTAAAATTTAAAATGAGGCAAGATCGTGAGTTTTATATGTATGGCCCATACGATAGCCACATCAAATTTAGAACGTATTTATTTAAGGATTATGCCACATTAAGTGGGATAGTTATGTGAACCTCGTTATGTGTTTCACATGTGGGAAACATTTATCTTTATCAAATACGTCATTTATCAACTGTATTATATTTTTACACTTTTAATCCACACGAAAGCACTATGACCACATGTGGGCTACATATACCTTTCTTTACGGGGCAGGTCTTTCTGGCTTTACTGCTGACTTTTTAACTATTCTAACAGAACAATTATTTTATGCATTTTATTTTAACAAAAAGATTCTTTCATGCATTCTAACCTCAGTATACCACATGGTTTGATCCTTGGTCTTGCTTTGTTTCTCGTTTAATATAATAATGTTCCTGTAAACCTTGTTGTATCGTGGATTTATTTGTTAATGACATAAGAGCAAACACTAGTTTTATCAAAAGTTCAACATATTTGATCGCTTCAAACAGACAGCAAATTTTTAATGTGATTTTTTTCCTGTGACAATTTGGAGCTCACAGTGGCAGGTTTTAATATACATTTTACATTTTAGAAGAGGTCCAAGCTGCCACGTTTGTGCCTCTATTACAGTGTTATAATGTTGCAACTCTATATCTTTTTTTTTTTACCTACAAATACTACCACGGTTGCTAAGCAAGCTTTTATCTTTTATTTTATCATGTTAATCTTTTATGACTCGTGATACAGCAAAGTTGCTTTCACTTTCACTAATTCTTTTATATTTAAAAAACTTTCATTTATTTAGTTTTTTTCTCAAAAATTAATGCTTTGGAATCCAATCCCTTCCTTCCCGGGAGCCTTCATGCTTTTCTGACAGTAAGTCTTCAATCACTTTTTATGTCGTTAATTTTTATTTTTTGTTTTGTTTTCTGTAAACTCCTGACTTAAATAATGGTTGCTAGCAACATTATTTTTGGGAGTAAATTAGTTAAGTATTTTTAAAATGAACTATACAATGAATAGGCCGATACAGCATTTTTTAATGTTTGAGACCTCCAGACATTGAGCAAATTCTAAACATTTATATGCTTATACTTATGTCAAATAACAGTTTGCAAAATATTGTGATGATTGGAGCCTGAGAAAAAGCTTTAAAATTTTTATCATAACTGCCCTAAACGTGAGAGCAACAAGATAATGTATTTTTAAATATATTATATTATATTTAAATATTAAATATAATATAATATATTTAAAAATAAATATATATAATTAGTTTTGCAATAACTCACTTAATTTAGCTAATTTTAATTAAGTTTATTTTTTATATGGGAAGAAGAAAAATATTTTTTAAATTCGGTTAGCAAAACTTCATGAAAAATAAATTTAACAGCAATGGCTTAATAAAATAAAAAAATCGATTGCAAAAGTTGTGTTTTAATAACTTATAAAGCTTAAAAATTTGTTTTTAATTTTATTTGTTTTCTGTATCTTTTAATTTTCACTTTTTTTTTTCAAACTTTAAAAAGAGCATTCACCTAAGCTTAAAAGCAAAAACCAATCAAAATTAATCGAACATCAATCCTTAACTTTGTGTTGCCCAATGGTTCAAATACAAAATGTGTTTTAAATGTTCCAAATATTTGATGAGTTTGATTTTGATTTTTGTTTTTAATATTTTAATTGTTTAATATACCGAAACTGCTTTAAATTTGCAATATATATATATATATATATATATATATATATAATATATATATATATATATATATATATATATATATATATATATATATATATATATATTTAACAAGAGGTTTTAGTAAAAGGTTAAAGCGAAGTAACTTTTTTAATATTTACATTATATAGCGTTCGATTTTAAAACTGAAGTTTTTTAAATTTTTTAACTTTACAATCAAATGTACACTAAAATAAGTCTTAAAAATTGAAATTTTGGTTTTGGTTAAAACTTCAAATACTTAATTTCTTCAATGCAAAAGTTTTGAATTTCTTCTGATGGATTTCTTTTTTTATATTTTTCTGCGAAAACTGTTTTCTGTAGCTGCAGCGGATTTTATTTAATCGTTCTTATTAATTTACATCAGTAATATTAATTTTAAAAAGTGAGACATTTAGATGAAACTTGATACTGAAAGTTAATCTTTGAATATTTATAGTTGAAGAATACATTTAATACATTTTTTAAATTAACATTATAACCTTTACTTTTGTTTTACTAATCTATGTAATGCGTAATATAGGCTTTAATATTGTATGTAGTAGTGTATGTATATATTTTTTTATTTAAATTTGCTTTTATTTTTCTTTTTTATATTTTTCTGCAAAAACTGTTTTCTGTCACTTTATCCTTCTGAATTTACGTCATTAAATTTTTGTTTTCTCTTACATATTTTCTCACTCATCATGTCTCATCCGTTCATTCTCTCTTTTTTTTTTTTTTTTTTTTCATTTTTCTTAGCGTTACTTTTTTATATTTTTGTTCTTGTTCCAACTTTTTCAATGTTATTTCTCCTTATATTTCTATTTTTATTACTTGTATTAATGTAGTTTACTTTCTTTATTATTTCCTTGTTTTAATATTTTTTTTAATTTTATTTGTTTATTTTATTAAGGTGTCACTCCATTGATTAGTTTTTAACTATATGACTGACACCGAACCTAAATTTGTAAATTATAATTAAATTTGTAATTTTTGATTTTATGGTTAAATAAATGGATAAAAAAAACATTAAGATTATTATATTAACATTATTGGATTTACTATCTTTGGAGAACAGAAGAAGAAGGGGTGATTTGATACAAGTGTTCAAATATTTGAAAGGACAATATTATAAATTTTTACACAAAATTCGAAATGCTAGATAACGGATATAAAACTAGAGGTCACAATTGTAAACTGTGAACTGAGAAAACGGAGAAAACGGAGAACTGCAGTTTTATTTTCAACAGCCACGCTGTTGAAAATAAAACTGCAGTTCTTCGTTTGAGATTTCCAAAAGGGTTTCTAGATATTCCACCCTCCCCAAAATGAGGGGGTTGTAAACATGGTCAAAACATTCGAACACTAAAAAATTATTAAATAAAATTAAAAACCTTTCGATAAACTTAATTTTATTGTAGTATGCTTGAAAATATTTTTTTTATTAACTTATTGCACTCTTATTTGATGTAGGGGAGCACACCTTTTTGGTAATTTTGTTCTTTAAGTTTGGAGTTAGAACTACGTCTGGTATCTGAAACGTCAATAAATCCTGTCTACGGGCCTGAACTGTCTATACAAAAATAAATAACTAAAATGAAAAACCACTTTTAATGAAAAATAGTAATTGGTTATTAATATAAACAAAAATAAAATAAAAAATTTTGTTTGCTCGATTGCCAAAAATGCATCGTAACCACAAAAGGCTTGCTGTTAAAGAATCAACGAGTTTAATTGACGCGTTCGTTACATTTAACAATAGAACACCGCAAAATTATGTAACTGAGTAAAATATTTAATTCCTAGACATAAGATTTATTTGTCATAAAGTTTTTTTTGTTTACAATTGTTAAAGTTTGGTAAAAATAATATAGGTAATAAAATTATATTTTAATCGCTTTCTTTCATCTGAACACAGCGTGATAAGTCTTGTTAAAATAAAAACCTTTGAACATCAAATAAAATTTAAAACGGAATTTATCAGGATTTAGTGACTTTTCTTTAGCTTTTATAAAATAAAGTAAAAACTGTTTATTAATATATATGATTATTACGCTCATTTCATTAAATCCAAATTAATAAAGTATTACGGACTGGACACCAAAGTAATGTGCAAAAAGAAAACGTAAATTAAATTTTCTTACTTAGACTGAGTGAAGCTTGGTATCTTTTGTGGTTTGTCAAATATTCTATGGGCCTCGTAATGGCAAAAAAGTGATTGGACAAAAGGTAAAATGCCAGCAGACGGAAGTGCTCTCGGAAAAAAGTAAACATTTCCTATAAATATGTAAAAATATATATTTTGACATCAAAAGCTCATTTTAATAAAGTAAACATTTATAATGAATAAACCAATATTCTAAAGTTTCTATAAAATTGTTTTAAACCAAAATTACCTTTAGGATCGTTCGGCTCAAAACTTTCAGGTCTAGTTATACGTGTTACAAGTAATATTAAAAAGATTGTAAGAGGCCATAAAATTTCAACAATGTTACGAAACTAAAAAAAAAAGTATTAATTATTTGGTAAACATATTCAACTATAAAAATTTAGTGTTGTATAAATTTTAGCATTACCATTGATCTTTTTCTTATTATCAAGTTTTTCCATATAACCAAGCAAACTTTTGACCAAAAAAGACGCATTTCTTTTAAATGTATTTGACCTAATAAAAATCATCTAATAAAAAATGGTAAATCTAATAAAAATATCTAATAAAATTTAATAAAAAATATCTAATAAAACATGATAAAAAAAAAATTACAAGAATGCCTAAACTTATTTTGAAGATTTGTTTTGAAGTCTTTATATTATTACCGCAATGTTGCCTGACGTAACATTTTGAAAATTCATTTTGTATAACCTTTTTTTAATTAATAATAGTTTATCTAATCTTTTAAAAAAAAGTTTAAAATAAAAACACTATGGAACCTTATTAAAAGATGCTTTGTGACTGCTTGCAAGTTTGTAATATCGTCAACCGTAACACTGGAAAAAAAAAGTATTGAAAAACATACAAAAATGTATACATTTAATTTGAGTGCATATTTATTAAGTTGATAGTCCGTAATCAACTAAGCGAACTTTTTTTAATCCTTATGACGCCGTACGACGAAAGTGAAGCACAAATTATAAAACAAAAAGAAAATACTTATTCATAAATAACTCAGAACACGTTTTGACGTCAATATGTAATGACGTCATGTATAAGTATTGCTTCATCTTGTGCTTTTATTTTGTCTTTACTTAATTTTCTGCTAAACATTTGTTTATTTGTTTTTATTTAAATAGTATATAGTTTGCTTTTTGTACAAATGATTCTAATGAAAACAAAATATATCTTTTAAATAAGGCAACTATTGCAAACAGTTCTGCCATGAGCCTTGCAAACAGAATGGCTACATGATGCGAATTTTTCTGTAGTGAACACGAGAACACATATAGCATATTTTGATGTGCTGCCCTTGACTTAGTTTACCTTGATTAAGTTTTTTATTCAATTACTTGGCGAAGATTATTATTTGTAACTATTTGTGGAAGATTGTCATTTGCATTAATTTTTTTAATAAGACTTTTTGATTGTTTTTATAAAAATTCTCTTCTTCTATGAAAAACCCCATTTTTATAATTTGGGTGAATTGGCAAGAACAAAATCAAATCATTATATGCTGCAATATCCAAAATATTACAAAACATTGTTAATAGCCATCGATTACTCTTTCAGCGACTTGAGTCGCACCTGACAACCTGGTCTAACGTGTCAACTCTACCTTTATATTTGTTGTAATCTAAAATAATAAATGGTTTTCATTATGGTCCATAACTATGTCATTACTGTGATGGAAGATTGATAATAATATTATTGCTTTTATTGATGCTAGTATAAATTGGTCAATATAAGGCTGGCAATAACTTTTTTAGTATTTCTTCTTTATTTTTTTAATGGTGTATGTCATTTTACGTCCTAGCAATCCACGTGCAAGATGAATGTTTGTAAAAAAAATCAGCTGTTATGTGTCTACCACTTCCATTTAAGTGATCAGATAGTTCTAGAACCACTCGTGTACCTTATCCAACACCACAAACTCCATTTACTCTACCAATATACGGTGGCAAGTTTAGGCAGTAAGAGGTTTCAGCATCACTTAATACCCATATCTTGATTCCATACTTTCCTGGCTTATTGGGTAAAAACATCTTAAATGGACAACGTCACCTAAATGTAACTAGCTGTTTATCAACAGTAAGATATGCACTTGAATTGTAGTTGCTCTTACATTTTGTAATAATCATTTCCATTAAATTTCTTAAAAGTGAAAATTTTTTTTCAAAATGTCTTTGATTTCTTGTTTCTCTCTTATTAAATCGAATGCATAGTTTCAAGTTTGCAAATCGATCTCTTTGCATTGAAGCCAAAAATATTGGGATGTCATCTAATCTACTTCAAAGCTCTTTCATGCTTTGGTTGTTAGAATTGAACACTCTAGCTAGGAGAAGAACTCCAATAAACTCATAAAGCTCATTTACTGTTGTGTCAACCCATCCTTTTAGTCTTATTCTACGAGCTTCAGCGTTCAGTTGAAAATAATTTTAATTTTTTCTGCTGTTATAAAAAGTTTAAAGGCAGTATCTACACTTTGGCGGCAAACTTAAGCTGCAAACTTTGTTGGGCCATTTGGTTGACGAAAAATATTAAGTATACGCGGTTGAGTATCTACAACAGGATGTTAACTGCAAATTTCCTCACCATTCTTTAAAATTATGTTTTGATCTAAATTGTGATTTTCCTGAACATCATCACTTTCATCAGAGATAATAGCATCTGATTCATCGTCAGCTGTAATAATATCTTCTTAATTGTTATGTAAGAAAATTTGTATGGGGTATAAAAGTACCCCATCCGTGTTTAACGTAACTAAATTTTTAACTATGAATATTATTGTCAGTTTATTAATAAAACAAAAATAATTTACACTAACAACTTCCTTAAATAATAATAAAAAATGTTCTCAAGTCACAGTTCAAATAGACAGTAATTCTTGATGTGGCAGTTAAAAATAAACTCTTCCCAGGTAATAAAATACACATACGACTCTTTGCAAAAAGGTTAATCAAGATCTTCATCGCTTATGTAACTGGTTAAATAGTAATCGTATTTCCTTGAATGTCAATAAAACTGAATACATCATTTTTCATTCCCCTCGAATAACTATTGATACCATTAAAATTAAAATTAACAAAAAAAATTTTTCCCGTCAAAATATATAAAGTATCGTGGAATATATCTTGATGAAAACCTATCTTGGTATAATCAACTGTATTATCTTAAAAAAAATTACACGAGCTAACAGTATGCTTTCTCTAATTCGTTACTATGTTAGGAACATAGAATAAAGAATAAAGAAGAATAAATCATTCAAACTCTTTGAATGATTTATTCTTCTTTATTCTCTTCTCACCTTTGCTATTGTTGTATTGTTTGGGGTCAAAAAAGAAACTTTTTACTTAATAGCATTGCTAGTTTACAACGCGCATCTATTAGAATAATGACGTTTTCGCCAATGAGATCTGATATCCAAAAAAAAAATTTTGAACTAAAAATCCTAAAACTCCATGATCTTGTAAAGTTTTACAATTGTCTTTTTGTGTTTGACTTCCTCCAAAATAAACTACCAAACTCTTTTTTAAATTTTTTTATTAAAACAAATCAAATTCATAATCATCACACCAGGATTACAGAAAATAGTAAGCTATACTCTTCTATTTTCAACACAATTAAATATGGTAAGTTTTCCATAAAACAACAATGTGTTTCCGATTGGAACCATTAATAAAAAAGTCTAAAAAAAATATCCCCTTGTTACGGATTACTTACTGCTCAACAGAATTCAATTTAAAAATATATAGTTAGAATGTATTTCTTTATAATTTATCTCTGCACTGTAGTTGTCTTTTTTATATAAATTCTTTAACGAGAGAGTGATTTTTGCTTTATTTATTATTTATCAATATTATATTTATTTATCATCGTGTTATTATTGCTACTTTTAATGTTATTATTATATTTAATTATTGTCTATGATATGTACATACAATTTATATTGTATTATAAATATTCTTAATATTATTCATACTTTATTATTGTTGTTATTATTTTGTATTATTATTATAATTATTAAATGTATCATTAATTTTTGTTTAACACTCTTTTCATTTTTTTTTCTCTCTCTTATATATATCGCTACGTTAGAATTATTTTGTTCCATCTCCACATTTTTTAGTTTTGAGATAAAACGATTTAAAAAACAAAAACTTTAGAAGACGGCGTATAAATTTTTTTTATAACTTATGTTTTTTCCGCAACTTTTTTACTTATAACTTAGGCTTCAATTCAGTAGAAAGACATTATTTTGAGGAACACAACTCTATCATTAACTCAATTTTTTCAGAAAGTGGAGATAGAACAAGATAATTCTAACGTCGCGATATATATATATATATATATATATATATATATATATATATATATATATATATATATATATATATATATATATATATATATATATATATATATATATATATATATATATATATATATATATATATATATATATATATATATATATACATTTTTTTTTTTTTCTTTTTATTTCTTTATTTCTTTATTTTTTCGAGAACTTTATGTTTTTTAGGTGTCACTCCATTGACTAGTTTGTTACTATATGAGTGAGACCTAACCAAATTCTATTAATTTACAATGAGATTTGTAAATTTTTATTGATATTAAAAAAAAAAAAATACTCCACCGTCCTTAAAGGGTTAAGTTCGGTTTTTGTCAACCCTAGTGAGAGTTACAGTGCAAAAAGTCTGGGAGGGGAAGTTTTTTTTTTCCATATATTTTTATAACTACAAGTTTTTACAATAATTACTACTTTCATTACAAATACATTCAAAAATACTTCTAATATAATTAAAATAATATTAAGATATATATTTGTACATCAAATATTAAAATTTATATTTTGAGAAAAACAATATGAGATTAAGAAAACAAAACAAGGAACTCAAAAAAATAATGAAAACTCGCAGAAAACTGTGTTAAGGCTGGTTTTTTTTTTTAAGATACGCGTAATTATTTTATTTATTAGAAATTATATTTTTGAGTGCTTATGTTGCATATATTTTGTTTTTATGTGAAAAAATTTATATTATTGATACAAAATAATAATGTCTAAGATATTTGTTATATATTTATTACATATATTTTTAGTTGTGTTACGAAGCATCGATATAACATATATATGTATATACATACTTACTTAAGCGTTAAAGTTTTAAATTTTTGTTTGGGTTACTATTATTTTTTAGAAAATTTCCTTATTAGATATTATAAATTTTTAGAATTAATTTGTTATACAGGTAAGGACCTCTAAATTAGGATAGTTTTCTATTTTGAAGGGTACTGTAAAGTTGAAAAAAAAAAATTTAAAAACTGACTTGGTACGATTTCCATTTTATGTTTAAACATAAACAATATATTATGATAAAAATTGGTTTCGTAAATGTTTAAAGCATTCATCTATGTTAGTAATGGGTTTGCATAAGTAAGCTTGTCTTTATAAAATACAAATCTAGAAGCGAATTTCTGCCTTGAAACAAAATTTAGTTTTATGGGTATTTACTTGCCCATGCAATATTGGCGTATGATAGATAGCTGTGTATAAAGGAAAAATCAAAAAGTTTTAATTTTTTAAATTAGAGAAAAGTTCTTGATTTATGG